TACCTCTGATTTGTGCAATTAATTTATGTTAATAAAAGTAACATGACAACCAAATTGTGTATATGAAACAAAAAATCAGACGTTCAAAAGAAATAAAATAACAAATTCTTTACCAAGAATGGCAACAAAATCTCACAAATAAAAATTATTATTTTTTTGTTACTTAAGTTGGTGTCGGATGTTAGGATAAGGAAAATATTTTGGGCTTCCATAAAATAAGGATTTTCAGAAATTTTAAATTATACTATCAGTATTAGTAATAATCATGATATGATTTTTCAAGAAATAAAATTTGCTTTAAAAAAATAATGGATCAATTTTGTTTTCTAAAAAATTCAATATTAAAAAAAGTCAAACAATTTAATTAAAAAGTTAAAGTTACTATTTATTTATTTATCTAATAATATATTTATATATATTAGTAGGCAACCCGTGCGATGCATGAGCGACCTTTTTCCTTTACTAAAATATAATTATTTAATTAACACCTCATTTCGGCAATAAAAAATATGCGAAATATGAAAACCATACATTATTGAGAGGTAGATTTGATATAATTTTTCCTTAAAATTATATTGATTTTATGATATTGAAAAATATATATGTTGATATAGAAGGTGGTGTGCAAGAGACTTGGACCGGGTTTGCACGACCTGATCTATCTATAACCTTTTCAAAGACCTGCAAAATGGGTTGGGTCGATAGCCCTTTGACGATCAATTTAGTTCATAGATAAAGAAGAAGATGAACAGTGTATGAAAAGCTCTGTAAATATGTAGAGAATGTAATGTTTCAATTGACATACTTCACCCTATATATAGGGGTGTGATACTTTGTTGCCAAGACTGCCCGTGTAAACTTCCCCAACTACTCCAACTGCTTGTTCGTAATGCCCAAACTCTCTAATTCTGTTAGGCTACGTAGCCCTATCCACTTGTGGTTCTTATCTTAATAATTTTCCTTCTTATCCAATAGTCTGTCTTATTAGATAGTCTAATCATGTGACTAATCCAATTCACCTCGAAGTGGAATTTTGACTATGCTAAGATCGTACACCCTGCTATTCTGGTAGATCCATCGACCAGTCAGCCCTTCAGGTCTAGTTTCAACCAGGCCATCCGAGGGCCCTAGCTCGATCTGTCGATGCTCCTTTATACTTGCAACGTCCACATCGACATGAGGACTCTTTGCTCTGTAGCTCCATTCGATATCCTTTGGACATGCCTGTAACTCTGATCAACCAACTCATTTACCCAGACCATTTAGTTGGTTTATCGGGTCTATTAGAATCAGTATGGTATCCCATATCATCTGGTCCCCCACATCCACTCTGGTTGAGTTAAGATAACTCGATCTAAGAATAGATTTTTGTTTCTGTTCTTATATGGTCAGTTAAAACTTCTATCATTCAACCATGCTGCTCGAACTTCTATAAATTCTGAAGTAATGTTCTTGACCTCCCTCTGAGTCTTGAATTCAAATTTTGAAATTCAAAGCTCTGCCCCTTGTCAGATCAATCAGTCTAAATGTATTGTCGATATAACTGCCTCGTGATCAATGTTTTCATCATGCAACGTACCCATTAAATGCTGGTCTAATGGTGACCCTTCTATCTAACTTCATTCGACGGATGGAAACACGTTGTCCTTTCAACTTTCGCAGCTTTAATCTTGATCGTTGGTTTCAACCATGATCCAATATCTCTGCTCACCCTGTCTTTTCAACTCGCATTTTTAATCTTCACCGTTGATTTCGATCACGGTCCAACAACTCTATTTGACCTGTCTTTTTAACTCGTCTTTCTTATCTTGACCAATGATTTCAACCACAATTATTCCACCTATAAATACGCCCCTTTACCACAATTTTGATGTTTTCCACCTTCACGAATACTCTCTTACTATTGTTTGTACTCTTCTCTCTATTCTGCGAACAAAACTGTTTTTTCGCCGCGGTGCTTCGCAGACGACCACCGCTCTCTGCAACTTTCTGAGGCAATCAACACCCAAATCAACGATGTCAATGAGTAAGTATTCTTTGTCCTTTATTTGTTAATTTTTCATCTGTGATTCTCCTTTTATTTCTTTCTCGCAAAACCTTAGATTTGTGAATTCTCCATTCTTCCCACAATCTTCTTCGTCCAAAACTTGAATTTTCATTTTTTTTTTTTTCAGATTCTTGAACCTCCAATAAGGCCGATAGATTTTTTGGAGCCAAGATATGAGCTCACATTTATCCTCTTCGACCTCTGTTCCTCCGTTCACTCTTCCTCCTACCCCCTCTAAGGAGCTCATTCCGCAGCCAGTGCCTAATACTTCTGAGCTTGCACCATATTCTCTGACCTCGCCTACTTCTTATTGACCTGTGCAATATTCTCCAGTTGTCCATCCTTCTCTTAAATTGATCGACGGTCCTAAATTTGAGGAGGAATTCGACTCCTTACTTCAAAGTACTCCCCTTTCTTTCGCCACAACCATTTGAATCACTCCTTCAACATTCCTGGTTATCCCATCCCAATGTCGACCTCTTCCATTGGTCGAAGAAGCTGGTGAAACTGATGAGGAGATCAAGATGGAGTCTCCTCCTCAACCTAACCGCCCATTTTGACTTGCTTCTGTTCGCAAGTCAAATGACTTCACTCGAGTCCACGACGTATGGATCCAGGAATTCCTTGCTCGTTCTGACCTGCCTAGCGATTGGGAGTATGTTGCTCCTCGACCTTTAGACGTGTAGAGCATCCTCCTCTGGGCTGTTACATGTTCTTCCAAAACCAGATGGAGCTAGGAGTTAGATTTCCATTTTGCCAACACCTCATCGATCGTCATAAAATTTTTGGCTTTCCTCTTAATCAACTCCCTCCTAATGGCATCCGCCATCTTGATTCCTTTTGCTTTCTTTCCTTTTGTAGATTATGTCACATCGACACTGATTTCTTTTTTTATTGTTTTGTTGCCAATGACCAGCGAGATTGTCTATAACTCTCTACCTGCAATAAATGTAAAAATTTTATCCGATAGCCCCTCCAACGTCCCCAAATGGAAGACTAAATTATTCTATGTTCGACCTCCTCCACCTATTCCTTTTAACTTGTCCCCTTGGCTTACTCTCGTTCCTGTCAAACACACCCATCCTGCTTTCAACCTTATAATCTCGTCCTTCAATGAGAATCAAGTTTATTCCTCAACCATCAACACCGACGATCGACTACATTTCCACTGTGGTCTTTTCACGAGGCCGCAACCTCTTTTGACAGAAGATGAGATCGGTATGCTCGAGTTTGGTTTGTTTGTGCATAATTTCTTCCACGTGATATTATCTAACTTATCGTCTTTATTTCTCTGTCAAACGTATGATGGAAAACACAATGGCCTCCACACCTTCTGCCAACAAGGGACCTAGTCCCACCAAAGAGGTCGCCCAAAAGACCAAGGTGAGGGAGATTGAAAAGACCGTCGTCTTCACCAAATCCAAAAGGCACACTGCCCCCCTTTCCAAGCCAGCCGACAAGCAAGTTAATAAGAATACCGACAAGAATATTGGCCTGAGGATGTCGAATGCTCAGACTACTGATGCGCGCTTCAAAAAGGCTCTCGTCGAGGAAGGGGACATTGTGGTCGTTCCTCCTCGCTCTCTGGTAACAAACTCCGACGGGTCGGACATCTCTTAATATCTTATGAAGATCTTACCTGAGGAGGACACTAAATGGTGGGGCATCGACCTCAAAAAACAATCTGACTATGATTTCAGGTCTATTTATCAAGTACACTTTGCAACTTCGACCTATTTCTTGTACATATTACACATGCTTGTGCATGCTCTTAACATTTTGCACTTGTTTTCAGACCCTGTCCGCCATAGTCCCCATGCTCGAGCACAATAGGTGTGGCTCCAACAGTTCTATCTAGAAGCTCAAAAAGGAGAATAAGAGAGTTTATGAGGAGAACAAGCCAAGAAAAAAATCGAGCTTAGTCAGGAGTTGGCCCGCACTGGTCGTCGGCTAGGTGAGGAGCTCAAGGAGAAACAAAAAGCTCTAGATTAGAAAATCGCTCATCGTGAGGAGAAGGGAAAAATGCGATGCTCCTTGGCATGTCGAGAGGTCAACAACACCTCATCCAGATGAATATTGTCGGGAAAGCTATCCTTGAGTCCCACCGCGAGCAGGTGGTCAAGGACTTCCTTCAGTCCCCTGCCTTCCTAGCGCAGTGTTACCCTGCCACTGTTGAGTTCTACATGATTGGTCTAGATGAGGTCGAGAAGTAATTCAACACCCCCAGCTTCAGTGGGACTCTCGACCGCAAGGCTATCTAGGCTCGGCTCCCTGAGTATCCCACTAGCTATAAGGGCGAGCATGATTGCCATGAGGACCATGTTTATTGAACGAATATGCTCGAGCGGTGCTTTGTTCGTGGCCAGCTTGAGAAGAATTTTGACCTCCCCATTCGAAGAACTACAACTCCATCCCATCTAGGTCAATATGAAGGAGTAGAAGTTACTGAGGCTCAAGCAAATCTCGACGCACCTGAGGCCAACGAAGCGGTCCCTGACCAAGCGTGAGAGCAACCAGCATCCTCGATCACTCCCAAGCAAACTCATAATCCTCCGCAATAGTTTGATTTAATTTTAAAGTATTTTTTGAACTTTGGCTGTAATCTTATCGACCATGTTTTTTTATTATGAAATGCAATCTACTTTTGTTTTATAATTTGCATCTTTAAATTGAAGTTGTGCGCATTGACCTGCCATCAAGGTCTTCTAAGAGATGCTATGTTTAGAAAACATTTTCCATCTCAACTTAATCGACGTGTAACTAAGGTCTCCAAAAGTGATTCAACACTTAGAAATTTAGTTGACCTGCCACTGAGGTCTCCATGATAATAAGTTACTATTTATAAAATTGTGTGAACCTGACAATTAAGTCGCCTTCATCGACCTATCGTTAAGGTCTCCGAGGTAGTCATTCACCATTTTTTTTAAATATGTAGAGACAATTAAGTCACTTTAATCTACCTGCTACTGAGGTCTGCGAAATAGTCATTCACAATTCTTTAAAAAAATAGGCAAAGGAATTAAGTCACTTTAGTCAACCTGCCACTGAGGTCTTCCAAAATGTCATCATACTTGGACATAATAATGCTTTTCTTATTGTGTGTGTTTGAACTTCCGCGGAGGTCGTTAAAACTTGAATTTTGAGACGTGATCGTCGTACCAACTTTGATTGTAACGTATTGCTCAATCTTCAATCCATGCCCAACTCTCTTCTAGGGTCGACAAGCCAACTCGGAGGCCTTAATCTTGTTGGGTTTTGGTCTTCAATCCTTGCTCAGCCCACCTCTGGGGTCGACTAGCTAGCCGAAAGACCTTAATCATGCTGGATTTTTGTCTTCCACTCTTGTCCAACCCACCTCTAGGGTCGTACAAACAAGCGACCATCCAACTCAAAGGTCTTAGTCATATCGGATTTTTTATTAGCGAACACAAACACAACATTCCTCTAGAGTCGACTAGCCAGCTCAAAAGCCTTAATCATGTTGGGTTTTTGTCTTCAACACTTATCCAACCCTCCTCCAAAGTTGTTCAGGCAAGCGATCAGCCAGCTCGGAAGCCTTCTTCATGCTGGATTTTTTATTAACGAACATGAACAAACCATCTTCTGGGGTCTACCAGCCAGCACGAAGGCCTTAATCATGTTGGGTTATTTGTCTTCGACACTTGCCCATTCAAACAAGCGACCAGTTACCTTGGAAGCCTTAGTCATGCAAGATTCTTTTATTAATGAACACGAACAAAACCATCATTTGGATCAAACTATTCAACAGATTCTTGAGACACATCCTAGTGGCTTATGTCTTTATGGATTCAGTTCAAAAATGAAAAAGAACTTTATAGTCTCGAAAATATTGTTTTGAAAGATCATGTTTGTAAAAACTGTTCTTGTTAGTACGAAAAATTATACTAATACAGTTTAGTATGTTGCACTTGTAATATTCCAGGAAATCTTATAGTTGCCGACAGATAAGATTTAGTTAAAACCCAACACCTTATCTGTCAGTTCCAATTGTCAGAACAAAAAAGTAAAATTATTTATCGTCTTGTAAAACTTTCCTTTAAATAGCGAGTCATTCATCACGATCATATATCTCACGAAATTTAGTTTATCAATAAATAGATGGATATTTCAGAGCCTTCCCAAGGTAATAATTTTCTTCAATCTTGGTGGTTCTAAACTGGCAAGTTAATCTCAAAATATCGATATTGTAAGTCAGTTAGTAAAAGAGATGGGGAATCAAAAAATCAATTTGTTGTATGGAGGGACTAGCATCACTTTCTATGATAATCTATTAATGGCTAGACAACGTTCTGAGATAGAAGTGAAAAATATCATACCTTTTCGTAGAGCTTCAACAAGGGTCGTCAAGGATTCCACAAGCATGATACTAACTTATTCTATTTATGACTGTATGATGGATATGGTGAACAATAGCGATGCTTTTATCATTCTTCCAGGTGGTTATGAAACGCTAATGACAATGTTCACCATTGCTCATTGGGCAGAATTATAGGTCTATTGAATTTTAATAACTTTTTTCATGGTTTGCTTGGAATTTTAGATCAAAGATTATATCAAACCTTTATATCTTCTTCAACAAGAGAAGTATTAAAATCTGTAGATACGTCTGCTGAACTTAACACAAAGGTTCAAGAATACATCAATTTTCAAGATTCTGTGGAAACACAAGGGGTCAAGCGAAAAAAAGCTTTTGATCCTTTAGATATCTTATTATGAACCCAAATAACAATTATGGATGGCAGAGTTATGGAGTTTTATACTCTCGAGACGCACCCTTCTTTTATGGGTTCTATTATGTAATCTTTTCGCATTTTGTATTTATCGAGGTATTTCCATCATCTAATCCTTCTATACTTATTCCTCAGTAATAATAATATCAATTTGGCTTTTTCTCAAGATAAGTGCATAGTACTTCATGATTACAATCATACCATATGTGCTTCTTCTGGAGCACTTTATTGTAATATCTATATGGTCTCAAATCTTAATGTAATTTAGTCATTTGACATAGTCCCTTAGACTCATATAGTATATTGAGAAATCATTTTGTGTGATCACCTACAACTGGTAGCTTTTGGTACCACTTTCTCATTTTGTTCAATCATCCAATGGTAGCTTCGGGTACTATTTCATCACTTTGTTTAATCATAACGTGGTAGCTTCCAGTACCAATATACCAGATATCATTTAACCATTACATAGTAATTTCTGGTACTACTTCATCAATATTCGTTTTACCGTCAATAAATTTGGAGAATTTACCAACTGTTCCTTCAAGATCATATTAGTCCATATAATGTTCGTTCACTACAAGGATTTTAATAAACTTATCACATGGCCAGATAAGAAGTATCATTAATTTCACTCATCGGCTATCATTTATTAGTACTGCCCGTCGCCGGCGGCAGAGCCGCACTGGCCGACCCATGTGTATATAGCCATTCATATCCTTTTATATGTACTATCTGTTGCACATGGCTTTACCACCTGGCCATTCCACATCATCGGCTATCATTAAGAAATACACTGACTGATCCATTTAGCCGTTCAATATTATTTGTTGTTGGTGGTTGCAACACTTGGCCATTTCATATGATCGTTCCTATATAATATTTCGATCAATCATTGACCCGTAGGTTACTATTAAATATTAAATGCCGGCGGCAGAGCCGCACTGGCTGCTCTGTGTAGTCACATATATTTCTTTTCATATCACATGGGCCAATTCGCAAATATCCACATGTTCAAGTACCAAATAATTTTTCACAATAGACTAATTCAAACATTTCATAATCATATAATATAATAAACTATATCAATATTGGTCTTAAATTGAATCTATCATTAAATAGAGTAGTATGAAAGTGAAATAAGAATTTAGCTGTAGAAGTACTTCCACTACTACAAAACACCCATCTCAGCAGCCTTATATGCTCTTTATTCGTATCAAATATTAGCTCACTTAAATTATTTTGGGTATAGCTGGCGCATGATATCAATAATAAGTCTAATTTCATCTTTTGTATAGAGATTGGTATTTTGGGGAGAAGTTTAAAAATTGAGTGATAGATCAGTAATGTGTCATGTAACCATTTGTTAAAACGTGTTGCATTATGCAGTTTGTAGTTTTCTTTCTACTTATGCTCACCTCAATTGGAAAAAGATCTGCCGCAAAGAAATCCACCGCCGAGCCTGGATCACGGGAGGCGCTGGCTCCGTTGAAAATCCAGTAAGACATGGATGCCGTTTTTAGGGATGCAAGCCTCAAGGAGCCATTATGGGAGGAAGTTTCCAAGTTAGTGAATAAATATATATTTTCCTCTCTCCTTATTTCTTTTGGAGCAGTGGCAGTGGCTGGATGTCGACCCATTGCACTTGCCGGAGGCTCCGACGCTCTCGGAACCGCACTTCTTCTTAAACGACGACGAGGACGACAGCAGCGGCTTCCGCAGTGAAGAAGAAGCATCGGAAGAAGATTTTTCTTGAAGAATAGTTTCAATAAAATAACGATTTGTAATATTATGATTTCTGCATAAGATCGTCTATAAGACGCAACTGTAGAACATACTCTAGTCGTATTACAAATCGAGCTCTATAGGGCAGAGACTCGTGTTGATAACGTGTTATAAAACTAGAGAGAAAAAGAGAGAACAGAGAGAATGTGTTCTCTTGGTACGATTTTTATTATAATTGAAGCTCATATTTATAGGAAACTTATTATTTATAGGAAACTTCTGATGGCATAACTTGTAATAATACAAATACATCGAGGGGAAAATAGTCATTCACTTATACATATAATAATTGTGTGGTTCATAACATATACCATATATTGATTAATTTTTAAGCAAATTTCTTAAAAAAACAGCCATCAAATAACCCATATAAATTTGTCCACTTTATACCATATACTAATTGATTTATTTTCCATTGAAAGACATCAGATCTATAAAATAAATTCGCCCACTTTATACCATAAATTGACTTATTTATTTCCCATATAAGAAATCATCAAGTACCAAAAATAATTGTGCCTACTTTATACCATATATTGATTAATTTATTTTCAAATGTAGTAAATATAAAGTTTTTTGCAGGAAACAGTTACTATTTTAAAAATAATCAAACATTTATATATATATATATATATATATATATACATATATATATATATATATATTGATATATATATTATTTATGCAAGACAAGTATAAAATTGGAGAGGAAAAGAATAATAATGCTAAGAGAAAAGGACTAAAGCAAAAAAATGTGAAAGAACTCAATAATAATAATAATATTTATATTAATAATGGATTATTTGATTGCATATATAATTTTATTTTTCACTTTACAATATTTTTCCAATAAGCTGGCCACTGGAAATTGACATCTGAATCAACTCTCTGTTGTATAAATTTTGATCAGTCAATTCTGGCACCCTATTGCCCATAACACTCTGACAATCACTCACAAATCTGTCACACTTTCCAATATAAAATAGCATACTTCTATAGTCTTCTCTTACAAATGCGAAACTTGCATCTGTGAATTCTTTCACCATATTCTCATACGTAACTTCACAAATCTTATAAAGATCTCTCCACTCCACATTCTTTCCCGAATCGATCAAACCCACTACGAATTTTAGTGTACCCTTTGCGTGTACGAATGATTGTGTGATTGCTATATAAGTTAATCCTCTGATGTCCGTTGTTGGCGTGTACAAATTATTCTTAAACACATTTACACAATATCCATAGTCAAACGTGCTCCTGCAAATCGTATTTATCAATTCTTGAGTATCGCTGTCAACGCTCAAACAATGTGGGATCAATAGAAATACAATAACTGTCGGAAATAATAATGAACTAAGAGTGAGCTTGGACATGTTACACTCTTTTTCCAAAGTTGGCTTAAGATTATTACTATTATTAAAAGATGAAAATAAAAAAAAGTGTGGTTTGAAGTAATGTCTCGATGAGTTAGTATGTATATATATTATATTGCAATTTTTATTTCCGATTCACAAAAACAATGAAATTGTATGTATTAAAATATATATAATACGACTTGTGAGTAGTCTGTTGTTTTATTTTTTATTTTTTTGTTTGTAAATCGGAGGTCCCCCTTCCTCTAGCGCAAACTGTTGTTGTATTGAAATTAACAACTCAAGCTAATAAACAGCAGGGTGTGTTTAACATGAAATAAACATAAATATGGATTTTATTGATCAATTAATTCACAAGAGTACAGGAAATCGGTTTTTTGTTCATAACCGAGATGTCTTACAGTTCGTATACCATGTGTTAAAAAAGGCCCCCCGTACGATAATAAATTCTGCTATTTATAGTACGGATAGTTTTATCTTTTAGTCCGAGGTAGATGAGATCACATTAAATGTTAAGCAGCTTTAATAAAGCGGTGTGTAATGTAATGAGAGAACATCAATGATTATTCTTTGACTTGATGGTCCAATAGAAGGCGTACAACGTCTCCTGCTTTAAGAATTTGGTTTTCTCTGTTGATAACCGACTTGGTTGAGACACGATTAGTTGAAGAACTAATCATATTATCTGTTGATCTTAGCCCCAAGTCGGCAATAATCAGATAGATATCGACTTCCGAATGACACGAGTTAAGACCAATTACACTCCAAAGACCGACTAAACTATAGACGCTTACAGACCGACTTCACCAAACAACAAAACTACTTGCTATGAAGGTTATCCTTTCAACCGACATCCGAGGAAACCAAATTCTTAAAGCAGGAGACGTTGTACGCCTTCTATTGGACCATCAAGTCAAAGAATAATCATTGATGTTCCCTCATTACATTATACACCGTTTTATTAAAGCTGCTCAACATTTAATGTCATAAAAAATCTTATGACTGATTGCTTTTACTCAATTACTTAAAATTCTTTATTTGGATATTTTATACAAAAATAAATTCATTTTACTTAATGAAACAATATAAGTTTTATATTTATACATATTATACACATAAGTTTTAAATATATGATAAAATTTTACCAATATAATTATTTTATAGATTCACGTTATAGTCAAATGGAATTTCTGAATAAAAATTTTGAAATGACACATATATTGAAACCAATATAATGTAATTTATTATCAGTTATGTGCAACGCATGAGTTGTGTACTAATTTTAAAAATAGACATTTTTATGTAATTTTACACAATTTAAATTTTATGTAACATTTACAATAAATTAATATAAGTACATTGTATTACATATTGATTCCATGTTTTTAATTTTTAAATATTATTTAATAAAATTTTAAATTATAAATATTAATGAAGATCTCTTACTCGTGCATCGTACGGGATTCGTACTAGTATATATAAAAAGGTTGTTGGATAAATCCTTTAAAAAAAAAAAAGAATGTAATCCATATTTTGTATTGTGCATATATTATTATTCATTCACTTAACCACCTAAATCACACTGTTAAAATAAGCTGGCCACTCACAAGTGACATTTGAATCAACTCTCTATTATTACCATTTTCATCAGCCAATTGTGGCACCCGATTTGCATTGAAAACCTGACATTTACTCAGATATCTGTCACCCGTTCCCAACAAAATTAGCATGTTTCTATAGTCTCCTTTAGCAAATGCCAAAAGGGCGTCTGTCAATTTACTCAAACCACTGTTGTAGGAATTCCTACAAAAGTTGTAAACATCTCTTATGTCCGATCTCCTTTCTGAATCCAACGACTTCACTATGAATTTCAGGGTATCCGACGTGTGTAATAATGTCTGCGTGACCGCTATTTCAGCTAATCCTTTGATATCCATCGTGGGCTTGTACAAATTCTTGTAAAACACATTGATACAATACCCATAATTATAAGTTCTCCTACAAATGTCACCTATCAATTGCTGAGTATGGGTGTCAACGCTCAAAGAATGTGGGAGCAATAGAAATAAGATGGCTATGGGTAATAATAATGAACTACCAATGAAATTGGACATCCTTTCTCACTACTTTTCACAGTTAGCTAACAATTTTCCTTCTTTTATTTTATTTTTATTTATTTATTTGTTTTTGGGAGAAAGCGATGGTGTGATGTAAGAGCATTTCCAATGGGGACGGTTGAGAGAAAAATTAAATTATGTGGACACCGTTTATTTTACTGGTCATGTTATGCTGACATGTTGATTAATGGAAAATGATATAAAAGATACAAACAGGATCTGCATTGCAAAGGAGATTTCATTTCATTCTTTAATGGTGTTTCTTGATAGTTGTGAAGACAATGGCGGCTACACAAGGGAGCTAACATATATATATCAAACTCTAGAAGCTATCTAGACCCTACACCTATCCACACTATCATTGGATGAATCAAACCCTAGATGACAGCTTTCACACTCACTACAAGACATAAGTTCACAGCTGCCATTGGTTTTGTGTTGTGGGGCTGCATGATGTCCAGCGGGTACGTGCATGGATGGGACCATCAAATGCTGACACTTCATGGTAACATGCTGAGGTGGAATACTCTTTGACTGGTCAATGAAGTTGCCTTCTTGTTCTTTAATCTCAACATGCCCCCTCAATTCTAACAATGGCTGAAGATGAATTTTCAATTTTGATCGAAGCCTTGAGTAGAATTGACCTGTTAGAGGTTTTGTAAAGATATCAGCTATTTGATCAATAGCTGGAACATGCTGAACAGAAATGATGTTCTTTGCAATTTTCTCTCTTAAAAAATGCAAGTCCAATTCTATATGCTTTGTCCTAGAGTGTCCCACAGGATTGGCTGCAAGATGTATTGCTCCCAGATTATCTACCCAAATGACACTAGGCTTCTTGTGTTTGATTCCAATCTCTTGCATCAATGAGCTCAGCCACAACACTTCACAGGTAGCCTGTGCCAAACTCCTATATTCTGCTTCTGTGGAGGACCGTGATATAGTTGCTTGCTTTTTGGAGCTCCATGATATTAGATTTCCACCAACAAATGTGCAAAATCCAGAAGTTGATCTCCTGTCATCAACATCAGATGCCCAATCTGCATCTGCAAATCCCACAATATCAAAGTGTGGACAAGGTGAAAGCTTGAGTGAAAAATCCTTTGTCCCTGCTATATACCTCAGAATTCTCTTGACTGCCTTCCAGTGGGTATCTAATGGATTTTGCATGAATTGACTAGCTTTATTAACACTATAGTTGATGTCTGGTCTAGTCATAGTTAGATACTGAAGAGCACCCACAATTTGCCTGTAGAAGGTTGCATTTTCAATAGGATTGCCACTATGCTTGGATAGGGGTGGTGATGCAATCATAGGAGAAGTTACTCCCTTTGCCCCCTGCATGCCAGCCCTATGAAGAAGGTCATTAATGTAACCTGTTTGATTGAGGTATAGAGATCCCGAATGGAAATGAGCCTGAATTCTAAGAAAATAGTGAAGACTTCCCAAGTCTTTTAAGGAGAAATGTTGATGAAGATTATCAATCAGTTTGTCAATCTCAATATTTGAAGCTCCTGTGATGATAACATCATCAACATAGACCATTATGAAAATAGAAGAGCTATGAGACTTTCTGAAGTAAAGAGAACAATCAGCCTTTGAACATTGAAAACCCAAGGAGAGAAGAACTGTACCAAACTTGGTTGACCAGGCTCTGGAAGCCTGTTTCAAACCATATATAGATTTCTTGAGCTTGCAGACCATTGGTGGATTTGAAGGGATGTCATAACCTGGAGGTGGCTGCATATAAATCTCAGCATCAATGTCACCATAAAGGAATGCATTGTCTACATCAATCTGCCTGATGGACCAATTATGTGTGAGAGCCACTGAGAGAAGGAGCTTGATTGTTGTAGGTTTAATAACTGAACTGTAGGTTTCTGTGTAATCAATTCCTGCTGATTGAGTATATCCTCGAGCCACCAACCTAGCCTTGTGTCTAGCTATAGAACCATCTGGATTTCTTTTGACTTTGAAGACCCATTTAGAACTAACCAGTGTCTTGTTGTGTGGTAAAGGCATAAGTTCCCACGTGTTGTTTTTGATAAGAGCTTCAAGTTCCTTGTTCATGGCCTGTCTCCAGTGGGGACTTGAAAGAGCTTCAGATATAGAAGTTGGTTCAACAGCAGAAGCAGTGGTGGTAGAACTATACAGTTTAGGCTTGAATATGCCTCTCTTGGATCTGGTTGTCATTTGATGAGTGTTTGTTGGTGCTGTAGGCTCAACAGTAAGAGAAGGATTAGTAGCATTGGCATTAGTATTAACTGTTTGCTCAATAGGTAAATCAACATAAAGTTGTCCTTGTAAAATTGGTGAAGAATGTGAAGGGCTATTGTGAGCTGAAGATGGATTAACAGAAGAATGTTGTGATGATTGAGGAGTAGATGGATTATTAGGTGTAGGAGGTGTATTAGGTTGTGTAGGTGTAGGATGAGGAAAGGAAGGTATTGAAACAGTTGCTAAGGGATTGAGTGATAGTGAAGTATTGGTGGATGAATGAGAGTGAGGTTGGAGATTGGGAATGAGCTGTTTAAAAGGGAATGATGATTCATCAAAGAGAATGTGCCTGGTTATAATTATCTTATTATCAGGAAGCAAGACCTTATATCCCTTGTGATGAGGGTTGTAACCAAGAAAGGTGGATGGTGTACTCTTTGGTTGAAGTTTATGAGAGTTATAAGGTTTGAGAAGAGGAAAACACTTGCATCCAAAACACTTCAGTTCAGAATAATTAGGTTTTTGTTTGGTTAAGGCTTCAAAAGGGGATAAGAAGTGAATTGGTTTTTGAGGTGTTCTATTGAGAAGAAAAACTCCAGCGGAAAAGGCCTCATCCCAATATTTATAAGGTAAATGTGACTGATTAAGCAATGCTAAACCTGTGTCTACAATGGATCTATGCTTTCTTTCTGCTAATCCATTCTGCTCTGGAGTATAGGGACAAGAAATTTTATGTAATATCCCTGAATCATTAAACAAAGATTTGAGAGCAATAAACTCTCCTCCACCATCACTCTGAAAATTTTTTATGCTGGCTTTATATTGATTTTCAATAAAGGATTTAAAATGAACGAAGGCAGTTTTAGTGTCTGACTTTTGTTTCAACAGGTAGAGCCAAGTGAATCTGGTAGCATCATCAATAAAACTAACATAATACTTATAACCCCTGTGAGAAATGATTGGAGATGGCCCCCAAAGATCAGAGTGAATTAATTCAAAAGGAGCATAAGTATGAGAATCAGATATGGGAAAAGGAAGCTTGTGAAACTTAGATTCCATACAAGTTGAACATAAGGAATTCTGAACATTGTCTTGGAAAGGAACATTACAATGCTTGAGTGCTTTTCTAACAATATCAAATGAAGGGTGGCCTAATCTAGAATGCCAAACATCTAAGAATTCACCCTTTGCTGCTACATTGCAACTTAATTTAAAACTATTAAAAGAAGGACTGAAGTGAAGGAGACTTGGATTCTTGTTGTTCTTGGTGAGGTGAAATTTGTGGAGGCCATTTTCAATGTTCCCTTGCAGAAGGATGTCCCTTGAGTTGAGATCCTTCACAAGACAATAAAATGGGTGAAATTCAAAAAAGACATTATTGTCTTTGGCAAATTGTGCTACACTTATGAGGTTTTTGTTTAAATGTGGCACATGAAGAAGGTTGTTAAGGTGCAGTGTTTGAGAAGGACACTTTATAGAAGTTTTATCATGATGAGCAATAGTCATACCTGCCCCATTTGCAATTTGAACCCTCTCAGTGCCATTATAATCTGCAGCCATGCTCAAGTTGTTCAAGTCATATGTGAGGTGATTAGTAGCACCTGAATCTGGGTACCAGCCTGTATCAAGGCTGCTTTCTGAAGCCACATCTGCATTGCTTGAAGTGAAGTTAGCTGAAAAGCCTGATTGAGAGCCTTGACTAAAACTTTGTGAGTTGTTTCCTCCTCCATGTTGGTTTTTGGCAGAATAGTTGATGTCAAATCTGTAATAGCATTTTTCTGCTGTGTGGTTATTGTAACCACAAATTTGACACTTTGGCCTGTTGTTTCCTGACCTTCCTCCACGGCCTCTAAAGGATCCATCTCTGCCTTGACCTCTTCCTCTATTGCCATTGAATCTGCCTCTGCCATAAGAGTTTCCTCTACCTCTATTGCTCATATGAGTGGCCATGTTGGCTGCAAAGTGAGGTCCTTCTTCACCCTTATTGATGTGTTCCATAGCTTCCATGCGGGCTTCAAAACTTTGAATCACTGAATATGCCTCTAACAAGGAGCATTTTTCTGTTCTTGAAGTGAGAGACACAACCACTGAGTTATACTCAGCTCCTAGACCAGCTAGCAAGTAAAGAACTTGGTCAGTTTCAGAAATTTGGTGACCAGCCATAGCTAACATGTCACATATGCTCTTGACCTTGCTGAAGAATTCTCTAACTTTCATGGTCCCCTTTTTCATGGTCTGCAACTCCATTCTTAGTTGCATTTGCTTAGCCTGACTTTGGCTAGCATAGCTGGTTTTCAAACAGCTCCAGATCTCTTTGGAAGAAGATAGACCAACAGTAGTAACAAGGATATTCTCAACTAAGGAAGATAACAACCAAGAGGCAATTAGTTGATCTAGTCTTACCCATGTTAGGTAGCTAGGATTTATGGCCAGATTTGAATTTCCAGCTGCATCTTGTTGACCAATGAATCTCTCTGGTGGAGGAGTGTCTCCTGTAATAAAACCCTCGAGCCCATAGCCTCTGATGGCTGTAAGGGCCTGCTGCTCCCAAATGAGGTAATTGGAGTCATTGAGTTTGATGGAAATTAGCTGACTTTGTAGTTGGATAACACTTTCCCCAGGACCAATGGATAACTGAGATGTTGTCATGATAAATAAAATCAAAAAAGAAAATGAAAACGAAATTTGAAATTCAAAAAGATCTCATCAGATAATGACAGATCCATATGGCTCTGATACCATAATGGAAAATGATATAAAAGATACAAACAGGATCTGCA